TACAACGTGGATAGACCTTGAAAACACATTATGCTTAGTGAAGGAAAAATATTGTATGATTCCATTTACATGAGGTATGTAGAACAGGCAAGTTCATGGAGACAGAAAGTGGAATAGAGACTACCAGGGGCTGGGCGGAGGTGGGAAGGGGGCAGTTATTGTTTGATGGATACAGAGTTTTTATTTGGTTGATGGAAAAGTTTGGGATATAGATAGTGGTTATGGTTACACAGCATTTTGAATGTATTTAATGCTACTGAACTATATACTTAAAATTGTTAAAATTATGAATGTTATGTTAGGCATGTTTTACCACAATTAAGTTTTTTTAAAGAGTAAGTGTTCAAATAAGTTTGGGAGAAATCAGTTCTCAAATTTAAGTGGGTTTTCTTGCTGCAGCACTTTTCAGAGCTTTTACAGAAGGGGTATATTATGCTGTGATCCCCAGTGGAGAGGGTCATTGAACACTGTTCTCAGAGGGCCTCGCCAGGTCTGTTCATCTTAGAGCTCTTCATTGAGTTGCAATATCTGGCTTCCTAGGCTGCCTTTCACACGTGGAAGAGGTATGAAAATCTGTGTCAAACCCCTTGCCCGGTTTTATGTAGAAAATAAAGGTCAGCATAACTATCCCAAACTATACCCCAAATCTTGCTTTTTAGTCTGTTTTCTTCTCCGAAAAATGGAGATTTATTTCCTGGGACTTGGAAGCATTTTAAGGGTCTGTGTGTGTGTGTGTGTGTGTGTGTGTGTGTGTGTTGCATGCATGTGCACATGTGCACATATGCAAAGGGAAATTCCCTAGAAACTTCCAGTTGTGGAATTGGAAGAGAAATCCCAGAGATTGAATGCGTGCTGTCTGTGGGCTAGGTAGCTTTGAAGGTAGTTTGGGGTATGGGCTTGGACCAGGCAAAGTTCAGGGCTCCGCAGAGCTGGGGGTGATATGGCTGCTCCAGGGCCTGGGTCTTTCCTCCCGGAGGGGAGGTCTGGCTGGCTGCTCAGCTGAGGGTGGGTGGGTGAGTATCCCGTCAGCTGCTGTGTTTGCTCATGACCTTTCCACTGGGCACCATATTTCGCAATCTCCTTTTTCAGGCCTGGGTTTGATGGTGACCTGGAGTTGAGTAGGTGATGTTAGGTTGAAGAAAAGAGACTGGATTCAAGTCCCAGCTGTGGGACAACTTTGTGTGAGTCACAGCCCAGAAATGCAGTGTCAGGGAATGAAGCCAGAAGGGAAAATATTTTTAACTGCCGGAAACATGATGAACCTGTCAAAAATACATGAAATCAGCTAAATTAATTGGGAAGAAAATGGCAAGGTCTTGTTTGTTTGTTTGAATGTAAACATTTTAAAAAATTTATCTTTATTGTTCAATATATTTACATGTATCCCCTTTTTTCCCCCCTTTGACCCCCTCCACCCTGCACCGGTTCCCTCTCCCTCAGGCCTTCACTGCACTATTATCTGTGTCCATGGGTCATGCGTATATGCATATAAGTTCTTTGGTTTATCTCTTCCTGTCCCCCTCTCCCCTCTTCCATCTGAGATTCCTCAGTCTGTTCCATGCTTTTTTAATGGCTGTGCTCCCCTTTCCATCTGAGATTCCTCAGTCTGTTCCATGCTTTTTTAATGGCTGTGCTCCCCAATTCCATCTGAGATTCCTCAGTCTGTTCCATGCTTTTTTAATGGCTGTGCTCCCCAATTCCATCTGAGATTCCTCAGTCTGTTCCATGCTTTTTTAATGGCTGTGCTCCCCATAGGAGGCAGTTGAGAGAGATTATGAATTCCAAGGACCCAAAAGATCAAACCCAGAGATAACTCCAGGAATATAAGCCCCTGAGAATCCTTAGAAATCTGGGGCAATGCTTGGCTTCCCACTGAAGGTGGGTGGAGGGGTAGATGTTTTTATTTGTGTATGAACAGCAGCACTTAGGACGGGAGGGCAGGCTCCTAGGCCACCGCTAGGGGGGAAAGCAGGATCCCTCATCTGCCCAGGCTCAGGGATTGAGAGAACTAGAGCTCTAGGGACACCAGAGGGCCTGGGTGGATGTGACGCACTGGCAAGTTAGGCTGAAAAGAAATCATTTCCTCTTTTTTGTGGCGCCTGGGAAGCAGTCGGCTCCTTCAGGATAAAGCTGAATGTACATCTCTTTCCCAGCCACTGGGGGCCAGAAACTCACTGAAGTGGGTGATGAACGCAGACTTCGTGCCTTTCGTGAGAAGCCTATGGCCACAGAAGTTGCTGCTGATGCTCTGGGTGAAGAACGGGAGGCTTATGTGGCTTGATTGTGGTTGAGTCAGTGGTGGAAACGCAGACAAGGTTTCCCCATGTAGCAGGGTGTCCTGACCCATGGCCATGTCTGCCTGCTGCTGAGTAAAGGGCATTCCTGTTACAGACCAAGGAGAACTACTGGACAGAGAAAGCGCAAACCTGTTAGGTGCATGGTGGATGCCAATGTCACTGTTCTCAACTTGGTCACTGTAAACAGGAGGAGAGAGATACCCCTGGCCTCACTGACACTACTGTGCCTTGTTGCCTGAGGCCCAAAAGAGCTAGCAGAATCCGCAGACTTTTCAACCTCTCTAAAGATCACGTGCACCAGTATATTGTGAAAAAGCCCCTAAACAAAGAAGGTAAGAAACTAGGACCAAAGTACCTGAGATTCAGCATCTTGTTACACCACGTGTCCTGCAACACAAACATCAGCATATCGCTCTGGAGAAACAGCGGACTGAGAAAACTAAGGAAGAGGCCACAGAATATGCTAAACTTTTGGCTAAGAGAATGAAGAGGCCACAGAAAAATGCCAGAACAGCCTGGCTGGTGTGGCTCAGCGGTTGAGCATCAACCTAGGATCCAGGAGATGGCGGTTCGATTCCCGGTCAGGGCACATGCCTGGGTTTTGGGGTCGATCCCCAGTAGGGGACCACAAACCCTCAGTTGGCCTGGGAGTGCCCTCACAGGGCCCAGAAGAGTGGCTCTTCAAAATGTTTATTTTGGCAAGGGTCTTCTTGTATGGTTGCTTACAGAAACTGTTTAGAAACTTCTGATGAAATTTGAATCTATCTGAAATGGAATTCCCTACCTGGGAATGTACACAAGTGTGTGTCTAGAAGTGCATGTGCACACAAGGGGGGTGTGTGTGCGTGCGCGTGCACAGGAACACAAGCTGCTGTACTGGAGAAGCTGGACCAGAAAAGAACAGCATGAACATTTATTAGTCATACACAAATGTGCACGCGAGCGAGCACGCACACACGCACCTCCACATTTTTTGGCACAGCCTGTATCCCGTATCAGTGATTCTAGATCCTTTTTTTATGCAGAGGCCTAAGCCTCCTTAAGCCAGTGGCTCTCCACTTTGCCTGCACATTAGAATCACTTGGGGAGCTTTTACATATCCCCATGCCCAGCCACACTCCAGACCAATAATGCATCAGAATTTCTGGAGATGAGACTTTGGCATTAATACTTTATATCAATATTTAATCATCTCCAATGTCCTGCCAGGGCTTAGTATTCCTCTACACAGAAAACTTCTATTCATCATTCAAGACCCAACTCCCATGGCCCCTTTCTAGGAATGGCCTTCTTGATACCTCCCCGGGGAGAGTTAGTATTTTCTTTCCCGAAGCTCCCAAAACATCATACTCACCTGTCTCATAATCATTTTCTTGTCTGCCTGTCTATAAAGAACCATAAGTTCTGGAAGACAGGCACTACTAGGGATCCATTTCTTTATTGACAGCACTTAGCTTAGTGCTGATGTGCAGCACATGATCAATAGATGCTTTGGAATGAAAGGAAAGTGTGTAATGAAGGCCTTAAACAGGAGAGGAGTGGGGAGTGGAAGCATGGGTGGTTTCTGGGTGGCAAGGCCATGCCTCTGGTTCCCTGGCAATGAGATGAAGGTAATCCCCCCACCCTTTAGCAACAGAGAGGGTCCTCTGGTGCCTCTGATGCTGATTGGGCCTCATTTCCTGCTTCAGAGAGACAACTGGGTGGGGCTGTTACCTGTCTGGGATCCCAAAGTGACTGAGCCTTCCTAACTGTCCCTTCTCTGCTCCCAATCCAAGCCTACTAAGTCTGGCGGGCTTCCAGGAGCTGATGAAATTTGACTCAATCTGAAATGGAATTCCCTTACCTGGGAATGTACATCAGTGTCTGTTGAGAGGTGCATGTACACATAAGAAGGGGTGTGTGTGTGTGTGTGTGTGTGTGTGTGTGCGCGCGCGCGCGCTCTGAGGAGAGCTCTGAGCAATCTTGGGCCCCTGGTTCTGCCCAGATCTTGGTGCTTGGTGCAAGAATGGGAGGCTCCTTATAGCCAGTTCCACCCACAGACACCATAGCCCCAGCCCAGAAGCCCATGGAGCAGACAGGAGAGGGTGACACTGGGAGGAACAGGGACAGAGGTGCATCCTGCATGAGCACAGCCTTCTTTCTCATCACCTCCCTCTCCTTGGGCGGCCCTGCCCCACCCACACAGCCCTTTCCTGGTTCTTATTACCCCCTCCCCTGTCTGCAATGGGCCCTTATTGCCCTGCTTTAGGGACACCCACTGAGGTGAGGTGACATGACAAGGCTAGTCACGGACTCACTGTGGGGCTGGAAAGGGGTGAAGAGCACAGGATTTGGAGTGATGCCACCTGATCTAAGAACCAGCTGTCACTGACTGGCCCTGTCTCTCTCCTTGGGGTCTCAGTCTCCTCATCTATAAAATGGGATTGAAAGTACAGCCCCACCTCATAAACTATGCTATGGATTAAGTGAGATACAAAGTGGAATGAGCTCTCCACATGTTCCTGACCAAGCCTCCTGGTCATTAGTCCAGACTGAGGCCATGGGGAGGGCCCCCTCTACTCCTTACACACACACACACACACACACTACCCACTTCCTGAAGGGCTCCCAACCTCTAGACAGAGACCAACCTCTCCTCTCCCACAGAGCCCCCTGCAACTGACCAGTCCTGATAATCCACAGAGTCCACTCAACACAAACAAGTGTTTTCTTTACACGTTGGGGCTTTTACTTCAATTTGAAGCAGTTGGTTGAGCACAGATGTGAACAGCTTTGGCCTTTTGAGCAAAGAAAGGAGCAGGCCTTGGCTTTGAACATGCCCCACTCCCCCACATACTGGCCCATTCCCCTGGTCCCTGCCTCCCTTCTGCCCCCTGCATGACTAGTAAGAGAACACTGGCCTCCAAACAGGCGCCATCTCGTCTGCCCAGCCAGGAGGGCGGCCATAGGCAAGGAGGGGCTGGTGGGGAGCAAAGATCTTTAGGCAGATGGCCTTGCGGCAGGTCCCTGGGGTGGGGTACAGGGTGGTCAATATTGCTTCTCTCCCCCACTTACCCCTTTCTCATGATTCTCAGGGCCCAAGAAGAAAAGCCTGAGCCCAGGGAACATTGAGAATGAGGGTCAGAGACCTGGGCAGCCAGTTAGAGGGAGAGAAAGGGGCCGGGATCTCAAATCCCACTCCCGATAGGTACCCCAGCCTGCCTCTCACAGCTCCCAGGAGGCTTATCTTAACCCAACCAGCTCAGGGTCCAGTGTAGAGAGGTCCAGGTCAGAGGTCAGAGGCTTCCAATGGTCACCAAACGTCCATCTTTCTGAGTTCCTGGTGGAATTGCTGACTTGTCTTTGGCTTGAGATGGAAGTCGGGCACCAGGAGGGGCACAGGTCATAGGGCAAGAGCGTGGCTTTTCATGGTGGGGTTTTCTCAGCACATGTTCAGTGTTTCTGTGATATCTTTGGCAATGAATTTCTGCAGCCAGAGGGTAGGCCTCGGGCCCCAGACAAGAGGAAGGCTGAGCTCTTCCCTCCCCGCCAGGCAGAGGGCAAAGTGCGGAGTCACCTTGGAGTGGCCTGGGGAGGTCAGGAGGGTGAGGGAGGCAGTGTGTTCCTGCCTGACCCTGAGAGGCAGTGGTCTGAGCATGTGGCGGCACCTTGAAGAAGACGAGGCTGGACTTGGCGAGCTCCCCTTCTCCTCAGGCTTGACTGGAAAGAGGCCCACAGCAGTGTCCTTGGTCCAGCCCAGGGCCAGTCACTCCTGAAAAAAACAGCCAACTGTCAGGAGCTGCCCCCATTCATCCTGGCTTATTTCCAGAGGCCGACCAGTAGCATCCCCCCAGCCTCTCCTCTCACTTAGTCATCACGGCTGCCCTGGGAGGGACTTGTATGGCCCAGGCAGGGGACTGCATCTGGGGGGCTTCCGAAAGTGGTTGAGCCAGCATTTGGACCCAGGACTGGCTGCCTCCAGGGCCTACACTGTCCCCTTACCCATCTCGCCCCCCCACCCCCGGCATTTCAGAGCCACTGCTGGTTGTGTTGGTTTGGGGGAAGGGGCATGGCTGCAAGGGGGTAGAGGGAGCTCAGGGACACCTGGTCCTGAGACCGAAATGCCCGGGTCACACAGAGATGTCGGAGTCAGGCCTGCCCCCACAAGAATGGCCATCCATGGCTGCTTCCCCTCCACTGTTCACTACACCAGGCGTCAAGAGGCAGGCAGGTTGCAGCTCATCCACCTGCAGCTGGATGACCTGACACCTGAGACAAGCCACTGAGCTTTCTGTGCCTCAGTATCCTCATCTGTAAAATGGCACAACTGGAGCAGGTAACTAATGTTCAAACTTTCTCTTAAGCATCAGAAGTGAAGTCTGAGCTGTGGACCCTAACACAGAACACAGATAAACACAGTTCTGGCCTACTTGGAGCATTGGGGTGAGGGGTACACATCGAGAGGGGGACCTGGAATCCCACAGAATTCCCTGCAATGTTGCATCCCTCGGGCATCTTGAGAACCCAGGGCGCTGAGGAGCATGACTTGAAAACCCCTAGCTTAGTCCATCTTTACGTTCTCGCAGTCCTGACCTTCGCAAACTTTACCCTGGCTGCTGAACTTGGTGTTGCTTGTGAGAAAACTGTCTGCAGGGTGTGACCTTCTACCAGGAAGGGCCAGGAGATGGGGAAGGTCATGGGGGATGCTGGGATTTAGCCTTTTGGGGAGGTCACAGCTGGTGGGGAGGCTCTGTGAGGGCTCCAAGTCTACCCCGAGCATACGAACAAGAAACAGCAGTCCCTGAACCCGGCACAGCACACCCCGAATAAAGCAGTTCCAAATACTGCTCTCCTGATTCTTGCAACAGCCCTGAACAAACAGCTAAGCACTTATTTTGGAAGCCAAACATCTGTCAGGCACCTCCAGCATGCCAGGGCACCTCCTCACATCCCCGTCTCAGAGGCGAGCAATCCCCGGATCGGGCTCAGGGGAAGAAGCACTAGAAGTTGGCAGCATCAGGATTTGAATCCAGATCGGCAGTGTTTATTCTGCCACAGAGGCTGCTCCTGCTGAAATGGAGGCTGGGGGAGCCAGGACGGAGCCAAACCGCGAGGCTGGAGGGCCTTCGAACCACAGTCCTGGGGCGCCCCGCTCAGCAGGCAGCCAAGGTGCGAGGCAGGGGCCAGGCTGAGAGTGGGGTCCTAGGGAGCTGGGCCGCGAGGAGGGCGTGTCCTCCAGCTAATTGAGGTTAAGAGGGAAAAGTGAGAGGCGGGAGCATCTTGATGTGGTGAGTCCAGGCTCACATTCTCCCAGCCCACTGTGGTGCGAGGCTGGCCCCAGCAAGAATCTGCTTTTTGTTACCGAGTCTGAGGAAGTGGGCTAAGCAGTAGGAAAGGAAACCCGTGGGGATGGCACCGGGTCTGTGGTCCACGGGGTGATTTACAGCCCACGTCATCCTGGCGCTGGATGCCTGGGCGGGCCCTGCGAGGACAGCTGAGCTCCTTTCTTGTTCAGCTTGCCTGTGGTCTGGGGGAGGGCGTGAAAGGCTGGGTCGGCTGGAGTAGCCGAGCCCCGAGACCTCGACCAGCTCTCACACCCTCCTGAAGCCAGGGCTACCACCCAAGAGCAAGGAAGATGAGGTTTCACTCTCCAAGGCCTGACCCCACCCTTTCCCTCGAGTCTCCACTGGACCTGTGTTCCCACCACCCACCTGGGCCCAGGCACATGCATCATCAGTCTAAGGAAGCCTTAAATCGGCTAGGGTGTGGTAGGAGGAACACTGGGAGGAACTCAGGTGCCAGGATCTTCTCTGCGGTTAACCAGCTGTGTGACCTTGGGGAACTCCCTCCCTCTCTGCGCTTTAATTCCTTCACTTATACAGTAAGGGGGTTGTATGTGGATTCGCACTCCCCAAAGAGTGCTCTGCGGAACACAAGACAGGTGAGATAGGACTCATGAGTCTGGGAATCACCAGATCTTGGCCCCATCCTGGAAAGTCACTATGTCTACTAGCATATTAAAGGCTATGTAAAGTCCTACAGTAGAGAAATTCCTGTGGCTTTATTTACAAAGTGTTTTCTGAACTCGTTCGATTGATGATATGATTGCAACTGCATCTTGAGTAGGAACTCACTCAACCTTCTGGTAAAGTGCAGCTTCTTTAAGGCTACAGAAGGCCAGGGGGAAATCTCAGGAATGGCAGTAAAGGGTTTGCAAACCTCAGAATGGGCAACGTGAGGGCCTTCCCTCTGGGTGCCAGCCAAAAGCAGGACGAGGCCACTTGCAGAAATCTGCTTCTTTCTTGCCTGACCACCAACTGGCCCAGTCTCTCAGCATCCGAACCCCAAATGCCTAGCGGAGACCCTGATTGTTCCGGCCTCAGGCAGGTTTCTTCCCCTGGACCAATCGGATGCGAGGGGAGACAAACCTGCCAACCCTTCAGAAGGAGCTGTATGGGGGTGTGGAAGGGGGTGTGAGTGTGTGTGCGTAACTGAAAATCCGGGGGAGGAGGCTGACAAGCACTCCCCACCATGACAACTACACCACAGACACCTGGCAACATAACCCCCGTGTGAGAAGCACAGCCTGAAGCGCCTCTGGGACCCTCCCCCTCTGTCCTTTTGTGGGTGCTGGTTCTGCTGTGGGCCAAGTCTCTGGCTGTAGCTGCGTAAGGCTCTTGGCTCACTGTCCTAAGGACCCCCCTGCATCACAGCCCCTCACCAGAGAAGATGCCCTTTAAACACAGGTTCTGCTGCTAACACAAACTTTAAAAACAAGAAGACAAGACAGCCTATCCAGTCCCTTTCAGCTGATCAGACGTGCTGAGTCTGACCGAAGTGACCGAAGTGCGTGGCACGGGTTCTGGTTATCACACTCAGAAATCATCTTTTCATTTGTTTGCTCATTTGCGGTCAGAACACCAGCTCCACGAGAGCAGGGGTGTGGTCTGTTTTGTTCGCTGTTGTAGTCCCAAGGCTGAGAACAGTGCCGGGCACACAGCAGCATCTCAGTAAATACTTGAATGAGTGAATAAATATCTCTAGCTGCAGGGATTTTATTTACTGTAGCTTTTATATAGGAAACAGGGTATGTTTCCTATTTCAAATGTAACATTGAGCACTTTTGTAAATGTGCCTGTGCTTTAGGGAAACTTTTAGTAGTTAATGTGACTCCTGGAACAATTTTCCATCTTTTTTTGCTTTCCTTCACTTCCAGTTCTTTATTCCTAATTATGCCTCATCTGCTTACTAAGTTTACCTCTGGCTTTAAGTGGACTGGTTTCCTCTCTTGATCACTTCTGTGTGCTGCAGGGTAATTCCACCACCTTGGGGGCATTTTTTTTAAAAAACCACACAATTATATCTGCTTTTTAAATTACTTTACCTTTTAAATTCATTTCAGTCACTGATGTTCACTTTACCTACTCAACCACTTTCCACTATTTTCAAATTAGATATTTTCCTATATTTAAGCAATTCAGATGCAGCCTTCTACCTGCAGAAACTTAAGCCAATGGGATTGAAATTCTGAAAGTTTTTTTTTTAAAAGGTTTGTCCTAAAAAGAGAAGTCAGATTCCAAATGTTATTTTAAAACTAAAATATGAAAGACAAGCAGGGAGGACATGGGAGAAGTATTTCTTGGACCCATGCTATTAGCATCATTTTACCTTTCACTTTTAAGTACACCTATACGTGGGCTAGAAAAGAGAGTTCATGTCCCATTCTGAATGCTGAATGCTGGGGTTCGTTCATCTTGGCCACAAAGTCAGTGGGCTGTGGGGCCCTGGGCAGGCTGGTTAGTCTTTCCAGGCCTCAGTTTCCTCATTTTTTAAATGAGCATAGTAATAATACCCATCTTCTTTATTTACAAAGAACCAATGAGACAATGGGGTTGTGCCCCTGTCGGGGCCTGATGCACAGTGGAGGTGCTGAAACGTGCTAGATCACATTCCCACAAAAAGCTAGGTCCTCAGCTTGACTAACTGGTATTTGAAAACATAGAACAAACTTTGAAAAGTCTCAAAACAAGTAACCAGAGAGAGTCACTTTGAACCAACTGTCATCTTGACCCATTTGATTTCAGTATACTCTTTTAAAAAAATAAACACAATTTTTAAAACTACATAAGTCATATCCATCATCTGATGAATGAATGGATAACCAAAGTGTGGTATACCCATACAATGGAATATTATTTAGCCATAAAAAAGGAGTGAAGTACCAACAAACGTGATAGAATATGGATAAACCTTGAAAACAGTATGCTAAGTGAAAGGAGCCAGACACAAGAAACCACGTATTACCTGATTCCATTCACATGCAATATCTAGAGCAGGGAAATCTATAGTTTAGTGGTTGCCTAGACTTGGAGGGGAGGGAGGACTGGGGTAGGGAGTGATAGCTAACAACCGATGAAAATGTCCTGAAATTGACTGTTTTGATATAGCTGCACATATCTGTGAAAAATACCAAACCCACTGACCTGTATACTTTAAATGGGTGAACTATAATCTTGATAAAGCTCTTAAAATATTTTTAAATCTGCATAAGTAGAACATGTTAATTATAGAAAAATTAGAAAATACAGACGAGTGGACAGGAAAAAAAAATTAAATCACCTTAATCTCCCCATCGAGAGAAAACATGGGTGACTATTTCCCTCTGCTATATTACCTATATAGTATTTTATGAAAGTAGAATTACGTTGTGCAAACTGCACCGTAAGCTGGTGTTTATATTTTCTCTAACAGCCCATACATCTTTGCATTTGG